CTCCACTATTACGCAGGTAACTGACCCTGGGTAAATTACGCTTCTGTGGCTTACTTTTTCTAATGTGAAAACCAGTAACTTATTAACCCCATATAATTGTTAGAAAGGACTTGGCATACATAAAATGTTCAGTAAATTCTGGCTGTAAACCTACTCACCTATTGGAACATGAAATGCCAGAAAGCTAGCACCATGTTTATTTCTCTATCTTGGTGCCTAATCCAGAACCTGGCATCTATTAGGTGCTTAATAAATATCTTCTGAATAAACATATGAATTAGGTAAATGCTTATATGGGACCAAATGGCCACATCTGTCTATGAGATCTCTCTCTCTCTCCTCTCTCTCACACACACACAGCAGGAGAAAAGGAAAGAGAGGAAAAAAGGAGGGGAAGAAAGAAAGCAAAAAGTGAATTCGTGTTTCTTATACTTTTTTTTTTCAACAATTTCCTATTTGGTGATTTTTGAAGACAGAGGTATGGCGAATTTGAGCAACTTTCTATTCCTACCACAAGGCTGGCCCATTTTCAATCAGTATTTTTTGATAAGAAAAAAGCTCGGTCTTATCTAGGTCTTCTCTCTGTTAGGCTAGGAGACAATTATCTTAGATAGGTGCTGTTAGTTTTCTATTTCACTGTGATCAGAACAGGTATGAGTTCTGCCCCCAAGAAGCTTCTTACTAACTGGAGATACAGATGCTGAATAGAACACTATAAAGTAATTCATTGTGCCTGTGACAGGTGCTAAAGAATCAGGTCCAGGGGATACTACCATGCAACAGAAGGGGAATATAAGTATCCCCTGACAGGGACAGACGTGAAGATCTCATCTGACCATGCCTAGACAGAAAGACAAGGTTTTCCCAAGAAAGTGGTAAGTGAGAGCTGAGAGAGCAGTAGGCCTGAGCAAGAGAAAGGGAGCCCAAGAGTGACCTGGCCCTGGGCGGGGACCAGGACTGAGAAGACAGGGGGCTGCGCCAAGCTATAGCTGGGGCGGCAAGAGGAGCCCGACACTGCGGATCACAGGCAGGACCTGGGGCAGTGTCCGAGGGAAATGGGAAACCAATGATGGGTTCCCAAGCGGAGATATTTAAACTCCATTTCTAACGCATCACATTCTCTGAAGACCGGCTCGAGGCAGGGGGGCAGGTCTGGATGTGGGGTAAAGGAGACCAATCCAATACCTCCGGTAGGGAAAGAGGTTTCCTTGCTGAAGAGTGGGGCAGTGTCTTCAGTGAAAATTCTTTACAGTTACTTACAAGACAGGATCAACAAGACTTCGGGGGTGAGAAAAAGGTACACACGATGGTTTCTCAATTTCTGGCGCAGCAGTCCTAGGCTGTGGTGCCATGACTGGGAAAGGGCACAGTGGGGCAGCAGCCTGGGCTGTGCTGCAAGGCCCACAGCAAGAGAGTGGAGAGGGTCACCCGACACGAGACTCAACAGTCTGGAGACCAGAAGCCAGGACCACACTACACACAGCCACCTCTAAGCACCACATGTAGCCCTGGGGAGGGGGAGGGGCGCTCCTGCTCCAAGTAATTTTTTAAAAATGGCTCACAATGTTATGAAAAACATTCTCAGAATCTCTTATTCTCTTAGGGTAAAGCAAGCAGATGAGAGATTCAACATCACAACAAGGGACGGGCTTCTACATCACACTTTTGTTGCTGTAAAAAAAAAATCAAAACTTGTTATAAGGCAACAGTAATTAAGACGTTATTTTATCGATTCAGGGATACTAAGAACTCAGAAGTGGAACCACATATATATGAAATGGAATGAGGAAAGAAGGGACAATTTAACCTATCTTTATGGTGGGAAAAGGTGAAATTGTACCTGGATATCTCCTACAATATACAAAAACAATTCTGGATAGAATAATGACCTAAATGCCACAAAAATTTTTAGAAGGAAATACAGGTGAAAAATAACTCTGTGGTAACATATATTTCCAAAACAAGACACAAAAGGCATAAATCATAGCCCAAAGAAAAATACTATTTACCTACATTAAAATAGAGAGTGTCACTCGGTAACAAAAAGGACATGAAGAATGTGAAAAAAAGCAACAAACTAGGGGGAAGATTGTTGCAACAAACAGCTAACAATGGAGAATACATAAACAATTTCAAATAGTCAATAAGAAAAAGACAGGAAGATTGGTCTTGTAATGTTTTGTCACTCATATGTCATTTTTGCTTAAAAAAAAAATTACAAAGGAAAAAGCAAAGCATCTGGCAGTATACTACTGGGAGAATGGGCACTATCCCATCCAGTCAGCAAGGACATAGGTAATTAAAGCCTCTTTGAGGGAAAACTTGTCAATATACATTTTTAAAAAAAAAAAAATGACTTTGCAAGTGCGCTTCTAGGAATTATTCAAGAGAAAATTCTCACATACATAAAAGCATCAGTCAAGGACATTCTCTGAAATACTGTTTCTAGCAGAAGAATGAAAACAATTTAAAATGTCCACCAATAGGAGTTTAGTATAAATAAATGACATCCATACGACAGAATCTGAGACAAAGGTGTATACCGAAAAGGAACTATCACTAAGCTATGATACAACAAAAATCAAGATGCAGAACGGAATATTGAAAAGGGGAGCAAGCTAAAGGTAGAAGATGGAAAAATACTTAGCCTATGTGCACAGACTATTTCTGCAGGTACCAAAGAAGCCAATGAAAGTGACTGCCTCTGAGAGGAGCCTTAGTGATTGGGATTAAAGAGTAGCCACTTCTCCCTCACTGACAATTTATATAGTACTTTTAACTTGTCTTTTAATCATGTATGTATATATTATCTTCTCAGTAAAGAAAATCCACTGACAAAATTTCATTCTACTCAAAAAATGATAAAAAGGATAGTTTAAAATGATAGCATATCCATATCATAGATAACACATGGGAAAGAACAGAGTAAATTTGTATGTATTAATGTAGAATGCAAGAATGCATACAAAGTTTCCTTTTGGAGTAACGATGACATTCTAAAATTGATAGTGGTGATGGACACCCAACTCTATGAATATACTAAGAGCCACTGGATTGTGCACTTTAAATGAGTAAACTATGTAGTGTGTGAATTTCATTATTTTGTGTGTGTGGCACCAAACTCAGGGCCTTCCACATGCTAGGTAAGAGCTCTACTATTGAGCTATACCCCCAGCTCTCTTGAGTTTTTTCAATAAAATAAACACACACATGCACACACATAGATAGACAGAAGAGTTCAGAAACTGTGGCCCAAAAGTCTAATGTGGTCCATCATTGGTTTTCCTCTTCTCCCCCACCATTGGTTTTTATAAAGTTTTATTGGAACAGGGCCACATCCATGACATAAATCTATGGCTGCTTTCACATTATAATAGACCCCTGATATTAAAACTATCTTTATGTTATATAATTGAGTAAAAAAACAAACTACTGCAGGTTAGTAAGACAGCATTATCACTTATGTTTAAAAGCTGCACACAATATGACATAATTTTTATGAGTTCATGTAGTAGTAATAGAAATGAGTCAGAAGGATAAGCATTAAAGCCAACTAATATCCATGGTTACTTGTAGGCAGAGACAGAAAGACAAAGGGTGGGGGTGGTCAAAGGGTTATTAGATTTTAGTCAGAATTTATTTAAAGCTGAACTGTATTCATGTTAAGGACACTCTAGGTGGAAACCAAAATATGAACTCTCATCTTGGTCTTAATTTTCCTGGAGCTGCCAAAATTTTAAGTGTTCTGATCTTCATCCATTCTTTTTGATTTTTCAGATCTTTTTCCTAGCATTCTGCTTACCTTTCCCCTTCATTAACTTCAGAACCGAGGTTTTCAAGTTGTAAGGTGAAATGATGTGTTAAGTCAGCTAGAAAGTGGGCACAAGCCAGAAAATCTCCAGGTCCTGTTGACAACTATTTCAGGCATATAATTCCCATTTCAGGGGCATGTGACTATTCCTTGTCTCAGGATCAGCCTCTCTTGCAGCTCCCCCATGCCCACAGACTTATTATGTTAATACAGTCACATAGTTTAGAGATCCTCATGAAAGCTGTGGGACTTTTAACATTTTTTTGCACTTCAGAATGCAAGCAAGTCTGACTACTCTTGTAACAAAGTATTGCCTAAGAATGAAACTAAATCATTGTTAATGAGCAATTCAGGGCCTAGAATGGCACATGTGTAACTTGAGTCTCAACCAAACTGTTTTACATCATAAATTACAGAGACAACATAGGTATAAATGATAAAATATGCATACTCCATCATTAAGAAAACAGAGCAGAAAAAAAAACAACAGAGCAGTTGTAATTCAACTGGAGAAAAAAATCAAATTGGTTTGGGGACAATGATTAGCTTAAAAACCTAATGGAAATGGACAGTTTTTTGAAGCAACAACAAAATGCCAAATGGTTTCCAACTGCATATATTTATACAGACATAGATCATGGAAAACCAGTCTTATATGGTATCTAGAAAACATTTAGAGTTCCAGAAAAAGCAAATATTATAAAACAATAATAAAATGTATCTGAAATAAAAAAGAAAGTAAATTTGAAATCTAAGGTATCGTTAGGGCCAAGAAGCTGCAAGCAACCTGTACTATGTCTCTACCTTAGCAATTACCAACCAGAAGCATGCAATTCTGTAATGGTAGATACCACAACTACTTCTACTTCCGAAACAAAAGTAACTACTATACTCCCCCAGAAGGGCTTGCTTATCTGAAATAACCTGGGAAAATCTGGCTATATATGACAGGGGCAAGGACCACTCGTCAAATTTATTTCTTAAACAATGTGGTTTTAAAATATTTTGTTTATAAAATCTTCACAAAGGAGAGTAAAGTGTTGAATATTAACAAAAGAGAAGTATTAAAAATGACACACCTACACACATGTGCACGTGCGTGCGCGCGCGCACACACACACACACAATACATTTTAAACATAATTTCAAGTTTCTCCTTGGGAAAAAGGTTTGCTCCTAGCAAACTCACCTCCGTGTTCTAGAAATACTCGAACACATCTTTCCTTTCCTCTCGCTGCAGAGAAATGAAGCAGGGTCCAGCCATTAGCATCTCGGCCATTTGGAGAATAGCCTTGTTCTAACATTTTTCGTACGGTGTGAACATCCCCAGCAGCCACTGCAGCCTGAATCTGCAATTCTTCCTGGAGTTCAGGATTCCTTCGACAATGGTGGTGTAACATCCTAGCTGAGTCCACTTTTTACCAAGGTTTCATTAGGTCACAGGGATCAGCCTTTCAGGGAAGGTAGAAAATATAAATTTAGAAATGGCTCCTGAATCTGTGTCCATCAAATATCACGAAACTGTCCATTTGCTCAATCAGTACACTTAAGTAATGAGTTCATACTACTGGTTAACATGTATCTGTTAAGACCAAAACTTTCAGTAATTTTGCCAAAAGTATAAATGATTTCAAAGGGAAAGCCAGGCACAAAAACCCTGAACTCTTTTTTTTTTTTTTTTTTTGGGCACCGGGGGTCGAACTTGGGTCCTTGTGCTTGCAGGGCAGGCGGTGGCACCACTGAGCTAAATCCCCGGCCCCTACCCCTGAACTCTTGAACAAAAAATTTCTTCTGCAGCCTTTTGAAAACTCAAGACAAGCAATGAATGAACATAGCAGCTATATTTTATGTAAAACGGGAGGTAATACCAGGTAGTAAAAAGTAGGAAACAGCAGCAGGGGCAGATTAATAACTGTTTTAGGAGTTCTGACTTATGGAGTGCACCATGGAGGAGATTTAAATTGTAAAATATTCAAGGATTATCACAGATCAGTTAGTAAGTATGGAGTATCAAATGGACAATCCATACACTACGAATACTAAAGACATTTAATTATGAAGAGCAGAAAAGAAAAAAACCCTTTATATTTAGGGCTAAGGATGTAGTTGAGTAGTAGAGTACCAGCATGCATGAGGCCCTGGGTTTGATTCCCAGCAAACACAAACACAGAGAGACAGACAGAGGACTCTCTTTCTCTCTCTCTCACCAAAACAAACAAAAACCTTTATGCTGGTTCTCCAAAGTAGTTCAACAACATTTTACTTTTAGCCCCATGTTTTATTTTTGGTTCAAGGTGTAAAGGTTGAGGGAACAAGAAATGGGGTGGGTTAAGTGCATGCAAGTAAAATGTTTCAATTACACTCACCTTTCTTCTATTTAAATTTCATTTTATCATTGTTTCCTGCTTTAGGTTATTTGATGTATGCCTTACTAACCCTCTATCTGCCACATCCTCTAATATAGTAGCAAGTTCATAAGGTACATTTTAAAACTCTAAGGATCTAAACAACCTGTTAATTAACCTCACAATAACATCATTTTAAAGGAAAATACCTAAAATTCCCATAATCTCTGGTAGGTCACAAAAGAAGTATATACAAGTACTGAAACCCAATATAAAATGAGATTTTTTCATACAAATAGGAAAATCCCAAAATGAAATGGTGAAAGGTTATGTCTTATATATGTGTGTACAAAACTTTTTTAGTGTGTTTTTAAACTGTTAAGCACACACAGAGACCTAAACTAACAGGCTTCTAGGAAGGCACTCAAAGTGGGCTAATCTAAAAGAATAAATCAGACCCATCTCTCAATTAGTAGCTTCTATTTCTAAAAATAAAAAAAATTCTGTGATAGAGCCCTTTGGAGACATTTTGTTCTCATATGTAGGTTAGACATTACAGGGTAAACTTGCTACCAACAGTAATTTATCATGCACAACTCCTCATTACAGACTATACTCAAATAAACTAAGCCTAACTTAGGCTGAACTACCACAGCTCAGGAGTACAAATATATGATGTGGTTTCATACCTAGAAAATGATGTTATTACAAAGTAAGTATTACTACTAAATAATATAATTTAAAATGTCATGCTACAGGTATTACGTTATCAGAGAAAATTGGGAAATGAGAGATTTCTGGACAATTTGTTCTCTTAATAAGATTTTCTTCTATCTCTTCACTTAATTACATCACTAAAATTAAGTCTTTTGTCTTAGAAATTTTAAGAAAAAAAATCTTTTCAGGATAGGTTTCTGCTTATTTCTCTTAGTACTATAAAATAAAAGGCTGAAGGTCATCAGCAGGAATTAATGGAAACTGTTAGTATATGATCAAAACAATCACCTCTAGCAGAAAGTTTTAATGGAATGGTTATTTTAAAGGAGGTCTATGCAAGAAAAAGATGGAAATAATATCAAAACAAACCTGGGTTTTATTTCAGCACATGCTATATTTAGTATATATTAACTGCTTTATTTTTTAATTCATAATTTTTATCACATTTTTTATTTTAAAAAAATTTTTTGGTGCAGAGATTGAACCTAGGGTCTTGCTAATTATGTGCTCCACCGCTGAGCTACAACCTCCTACATTAGCTGATTTCAAGGAAAAAGTAAAAACTAAAAGAGTTTTCCCTCAAAACAGCACAGATGACAGATGCCCCTGAGTGATCTTACCTTACAGAAGAGTGTCCCTTCTCCTGGGATATGGATTGCCTAACAACCATTGTGTGCATCCAACATCGTGGGGAGGGGATCCAAATGTGTTCAGGCTCCAGAGCAAAAGAGCTTCTTAACCTAAAAACAAATCAAATAACAACCATAGAAAAATTCTTTAAAATAATTAAGAATCATACCTGCTCACAGGGTCTACTTTCTGATGAATTTAAATTTCAGCCCTTTACAATAAATCTATTAAAAGAACTCATAAATTCTTAGAGAAAATGATCTTGTTACTTATAGTACTCTACAAGATGGTTTCAAATATGATGTTTTCAGAATCCACCCCCCAATGTAATTTTTTGAAAAATAGTAAACAAAATAATAAACCACACATTCAGAATTCGGATACCAGCAAAGTTGCTTCTTTTTCTTCTATTGACAACGTATCTTCAGACTTGCTTCATTTGAATTACTTTTTAGTGACACTATCAGTTACCTATGCTTTCTAAACAGGACTAAAGGAACATATATGCACTGAATATTGGACAGGGCCAAAATGGAATCTATGGAATCTACAAGATTATATCTGTAAATGCTGGTTCTTCACATACTTGAAAGGCATAGTCAATAATGTTGAAATTATCTTTCGTGTATTCACCCAACTAGATAAAACATTAACAGTAGTTCTGGTGGCTTCTCTATATGAATTCTGAAAGGCTCCCTACAACTAAAAAGGATCTTTCTCCATGTCAACTGATTCCTAGCTCCATAAATTCCATCAAAGTTAAGGACACAGGCAAAATGACCTCCACACATCACAAGAGAACCACTCCAAGAATTATGTACTGGGAGGACTGCCACTCCTTTCTCTGGTGGTGAGGTGCCAGGTCCCATATGACTTTACCCTTCAGACAGGGAAAGGCCATCTGGCAACCTGTCACACTGCAAAAAAAAAAGGGATGAGCAGTGTAACTCCATGGTAGAGCATAGAGCACCCCTGGGTTCAATCTCAAGTACCACCAAAAAAAAAAAAAAAAAAAAAAAAGGAGCAGTTACAGATGCTGCTGGCCGCACAGAATTTTCAACCTACCTAAATTAATATAATCTACTTCTATCTTTTGTTTTTCACATCCCATTTTTCCTTTCAAACTTCTCCAAGGAAGGCAAAAACTGTCAACTTGCACTTGGAAATAAAACTTGATATAAAATATTACCTACTATTTTTAAATAAATGAAGTAGACATCATCAGAATAACTCCTACAAGGCCAAGTGTAAACAATGTAGAACAAAGAAGCTTTATAGCAATGGCTGATTTTAAGACTTTGGCAGGAAATATATAAGATAAGCCTGGAGCATCTTATAGTACCAGAAAGAAAAAAAGTGTTCAAAGAAAATCCCTTAGGGTACATTCAAGGGATAAAGGAACCAACTAAAAGAACTCTCAATGGCCAAAGATGAACAACTGGAGCAAAGAAATACTTCAAATAATTTGGACTATAACCCAAGGTACAAAATAGATACAATGGAGTCTATATTGACATAAATAATTGATTGAATAAAGGAGGGAGAAACAAACCTTCTGTTCAGGATTCCAAATAATTTGTGTAGATAATCTTCTCTTGAGGAGGTTAACATATATTACCATAAGATGCTAACAGGAGAAACTGGTTATGTGATATATGGGAACTCTGTATTATTGCTGCAGTTTTACTAAAGGCTAAAACAAAGTCTGTTTTTATAATGCAAGTCAGTATTTCCAATGATGACCCTCACACTGTTCCACGTATGACCTATGATGACTTTTTCCCATGAGTGACATTTACATGTCAAGAATGAATAGCACCAGACACCTCACTTCTAAGAGTGTCCTCAATACTCCCTGCCTCCCAAGAGAAATGGAATGACCAATGTTGTTTCAAGCCTGTGAGGCACTCTGTGTCTTCTGCTGGCCTCCACAGGAGGAGGCTGGGCATGACGGGGAGAACAGGAGAGCTAGGCCTTGAGGAAAATATAAATAGTATTTATTAGTAATATTAGGAAAAGGCTGGAGTTTAAAAGATGAAGTGACTATATTACTTCTCCCTATAAGAAAGATGCTGAATAATAACAACTTGTGATAATTCCATGTAGCTACTTCACTCAGACAAGTCAATGTCCACTGAATATCTGCTGTGTTCCCAGCACAAAGTTAGGCCTTGGCCATAGCTGATACAGCTCTAGGCGGCATTTTAATAAACAGTTCTGCATATGTAAAATAATTTTTTTTAAATCCTACAAATTTCAGGTTTGTTTTTCTCTTTTCTGATAATAACAAGCACTATAAATAATAGCAGATTTAAACCAAAAAAAGCACTCCTTGCACGTATCTGGTACATCAATATTTACAGGGAAAAACACATATACACACCTCATGTACACATGACCCTTGAGAGCTGCATCATTTTGAATTATGAAGACAAAGATTTATCACCAAAACACCCCACTAGTCCAAAGCATTAAACAAGTACTTCATTTCTTCCTAGTGTTAGAGCTACAAGAGTACAGCTACTCATGCATATATAAATAAAAAGACTACAGAACTTAAGAGCAAATATAATATCCACTGGTAAAGGTGCCTATTAAAAACCATCAAGAAGTTCACAGATAAGAATGAAAAAAAGCCTATTTCCTCCCAAGGAGCTCAAGTTTTAAAACCTGTCTGCTCATGGAAGTCACCTATAAAATAAAGGAATTGGGAAAAAGAGGCAATTTTCAAAATAATACATATACAGTATAAGGCTGTCTTAATGATGACTTATGGACTCAAGAACTAGTTATTCCAATTTTTTAGAAACTCTATTCTAGGTTTCACAGTTAGAGAAAAGCATACAAACATGCAAGACGTTAGAATTAAGTATCAAAATGAACCATTTTCCCAATGTGTATCATTTTTATGAGGTCTTATTGCTAAATACTTCTACTGTGTTGAGATTTTGCTAATTCATCTTTTCCATTCTATTTAGTATCAAAAGAAAACAAAGACTTCTGAGCTTTAGAAACTACAAATTTAAGATAATACCACCTAATTAATACACAGAGGTCAAGTGAACTTCATTTAGTTAGAAACACAGTTCTTGCTTCACAGTTAAAAAGAAAATCTATACCGACCAAATAACATATAAAATAACCATAAAGCAAAATAAGTCTAAGATCTGTCCAAAACTACATAACCTTCACCAAATCTGACATTTCAATTTCCCTTAGCATAAATAACTACACAATAATTTTTTTGCACATTATTTTCACAATATCTTTTGATTAAGTGATACAAATTAGAACTACTATACTTTCTGATTCCACCCAAACCAGAAACAAGATAACAGCTTGTTACTCAAAAAAAGAAACAAGCATTTTGTTGCAGAGTAAACAAAGATACAGGCTGGGAAGGAAATAAAATCAGCAACTTCAAAGATACTGGCTCTGAGAAAAATAAATCCACCAATGGCTCACAGACTTCAGATGGAAGATGGCTGCAGAACATTAGGAGCCCCAATCAAAATATACAACATGGCTGAGATGCAGTGATGAGCTCTACTTATATGATCAGAGCCTGGAGCCCAAAAATAAAGCAGAAGTGTTATTTTAGCATCGCTCAACATAGCATAGTGTTTATGTTCCTAAACAAGTAAGGGTATTGTATTTCCTGCAAATTACTGGGTCACCAAATAACTGAAGGGTTTATCATCACATACAACTTATCTATGACTCACATGAATTCCAGCAGAAAACCCAATAATTTTCAGGAAATGCACATTAAGACAATAGAAAAAAAATTTAGAATTCATTTATCCAGAACCAACTCAAAACTTAAATCACAAACATAAATGATGTGGCCTTGTCAATATATTCTATGAACCCATGTAAGCCAATACAATCTTGGCAGTCTATACATCAGTGCCTAGAAAGAAAAAAGACAAGGATTATAATTAGAGATTTATATAAATTGCCTAATCTTAGAAAAACTATTAAAAGCTGAGCAGATCCATATTATTTAAGCCATGAAAATGAATTGGCTAGAAACCAGAGAAAAAGTAATGTTCTCTCTTTACAAGTTTTATTTGTTAGTGACAGACCTGCTTCTGACCATTTTGAATGGAAATACCCTTCAGTTAAATCTAAAGCAAAAAAAATACTTCACCACAAAGGCTTGAATAGAAAATATATACTGTATTTTTTTTTTCCAGTAACAGGGATGGAACTCAGGACCTTGCACTTGCCAGGCACGTGGGGCGCCACTGAGCTACATCTCCTGCCCCACATACTGCATTTTGACTTTTAAAACATACCTCAAATATTTTAGCAGTTTTTCAAGTTCTAAAACTATCACAAGGCATCTCTCTGGTAACTTTCATATTTAAATAATAGAAGCTAGTATTTAATTTTATAAATTTCTGCCTCGCTGCTATGGAAATGGTCAATTGCTCTTGATTCCTATATATACATAAAGGCTGCCCTAAATTTTCACAATAGTCACTGGTAGGTACTGATTTTAAATTCCACTCAGAATATACTCCCCCCCTTTGGTGTTCAGTTTTAGGTCTCAAAAATATGCAAACCCTCAGATCCTCTTAGAGATATCTTTAGCTATTCAAGAGAATTAGCAGAACCAGTAGAGATATTTATTTCTGCAGAAGGCAAAAAGGCCAGTGGAATAGGTTAAGTAAAAAATCTACAGGTACTCTATTAGAGAAAGGGACAGGGTGGGAGATAGTAGAGGGGAAGGAGTTATAAAAGTACACTATATGCATATACAAATATGCCCAAATGAAACTTATTACTCTGTATAACCAATATGCACTAGTGGGGAAAAAAACCCTCTATTTTAAGTACTTCTCTGTATCAAAAATTTCTAAACAATCTCAGATATTAAAATAACTGTGAAGTTAACAAGTCACTTTATATTCTTGTTAGTGGATATTAGAAAAGTCATTCACTTGGCTGATTTCTGAATTAACTCTTGTATAATTGCTGTGCTCATATCTCCTCTTTGGAAATTACATTAATGACCTAAACTTACCTTTAGTATATTTTCAAGGCAGCAACAAATGTGATCACATGAATTAGATGCTTAAATTTCAATCTAGCAAGTTTTCTGTTAAGGATTTTGAGATGAGAATGCTTATGACAAGCACCAAAATTAAGCCCCATATATCTAAGCACATCAACACATTCCTTTGTTTTTAAATTCCTGTCAAATGACTGTTAACAAGACAATGTGTAACTTTCTTTTTCGGTACTGGGATCTGACCCAGGGTCTTCATATTGAGCTACATCTCCAGTCCTTTTTATTTAGAGCCAAGGTCTCCCTAAATTGCCTAGGCTGAGCTTGAACTTTCAATCTTGCTACCTCAGCCTCCCAGAGAGCTGAGGAATACAGGCATGTTTTACCACACCAAGCTTTTAAATTTTTTTTTTTTTAATTTTGAGAAAGGGTCTCCCAAAATCATTACACTGCCCAGGGTGGACTTGAATTTATGATCCTCCTGCTAGTGTGCTGGGATTATAGATGTAGCCCAAGCCCAGTTTGAGTAACTTTTTATAAATTTGTCTATAATACCTGAGGTGTAACAAATGTTATTTATCTCTTTGTAGTAATTTCGGTGTATATCCACATTCGTCACATACAAAAGCCCAAAGAGTTCATTATTAGTAAGTGCTTCAGGGGCCAATATTGCTTTCATTCTTTTTTTTTTTTTTAAACTGGAGACTCGAGCATGTGCATTCTGAGGGAACACAATTCAGTTCATAACACTCACTTTTTCTATAATGTAAGAACAAATCTTAATTTCAGAAAATTATTTACCAAGAATATTTTTCTACTCATTTACATAGAATTGAGTATTCTATTAATTTCATAGTATCATGGATTTTATGGAGTGCCTAGAATTTGGTAAAAGTTTACTTAGTAGATGTCATAATCAAACTATTGTTTCATTAAATGCTGGTCTTTTTCAGAAGAATTTTCCAAAAAGTATAATATTCCAAATTAAAATTAGCATAGCTTAATTGTTGACACAGTGTGATCAAGACTTCTGATCTTAAGGTGTTGGATTATCCTAGTGATTTTCTCATGACTTTTGATTTGCTTTAGGTGTGTTAATGGTCACCAGATGTACACCAAATTAAACTGATAATGCAATTTCTGGCATCACTCGCTTTTTATCCAGAACAAACAACTTGGTTCTGTACTTAGTTCAAATCCTATTCATTTACAGAGGCAAAGATGGCTTTGCAAAATTTAGTATGTATTCAAGCAGCTACCAAAATTAATTTCTTGGACTATTAGGTTGGCTCTTTTCTATTTCTGGTGCAGTCATTGTGGGAGCAACTATGTTCTGAGTCTTACAGGTCTCTCTGTTACTTAGCTTGCTGTCCCCACCGGTTCTCTTCCCTGTCTCCCACTGTCTCACAGCATTTTCTTTTTTCTCTTTTGCTCAGTTCCTTGTCGTCTTTAGCTGTCAATACTGCTTTCATTCTGTTCACCCTCTTAGAAGGTACAGAAATTCATTTTACTTCAAGCCATATATTCATCTTCACCTACCGAACCATTGTCAATTAGGTTACTCAAAAGATTTTCTAATGAAGGTAGAGAAAAGGGGATAGCAGAAATAAGGGGGAAAACAGTAAATTGTGGTTTAATTAAAAAGCAGAGTCATTCAGAATTAACAAGCAATTAACATGGAATTGTGGAACTCCTATGAGATTAAGGAAGGCGGGGGAGCTACAAAAAGGTCTCAAAGTCTCAGAGCAGAGTACATGACAGTGTATCAAATGATAATGCAAAACACGGAAACATATTACACAGAGAGAAAGGAGAAAAACACGGTTCTGGAGTAGAGAAATTATTAAAATATTAAGGATCAGGCACAGGCAGTGTTTTTGTCTTTGCTAGGAAACCAGGGTCCAGAAAAGGGTGCATTCCCAGGCAACCACCCTGGAAATAAAGCACTGCTTAACGAGGTAGGGGCCGAGAATAAGCAATGGGGGAGGGGACGGCTGGCTCTTTACCTTGGAGGAGGATCCCAGTCAGAGGCACGGGGCTCGCTGCTTCACTGGTGGGTGGGCAGACCCTTTCCTGCTCTCGAGTGTCCTCCAGCCACCTCAACCCTGGAAAACAAGCCACTGAATGATGCACTGCACAGGCCAGGAGGAAGAGGGCTCTGAGGCAGGGGGAGCGAAGCAAATAACTGGAGGGTGGCAAGGGCAGGTAGGCAGAAGCAGTGATTCTCCTCCCTCCCGCCCCTCTGGGCAGCCCTCTTCCCCTCTGGGGAGGTAACTGACTTTACCTGTGTCCTCAACTGCTGCTCCTCTTCCTCCTTTCAGCCTCCTCCACACTCACCAACTTCTCCATGGAAGAAACACCCCGGGCAGGGCCAGACTCGGGTGCTCCCGATCCTCCTCGGTGCCTCACGGCCCCATCCAGGAGACCATCCAGACAGTCGAGCAGGCGAGGGTGGCGGTCCCGGCTACCAGTCAGCCTCGGGGCAGGGGTGCCGGGAGGAAGTCCCGGCTCTGGTTGGGGGGGCAGTCCTGGTCCAGGGGCTCCGAGCAGGGGACTGCCGCGTTCGGGCCGGAGGCTTCCAGCTAGGGAGAGACTCGGGACGGCTCGGGACAGCGAGGTCCCAGCTCGTACAGGGTCTGAAGTGCCAGCAGCTAGATCTCCGGACAGGGGTCTTTCGGGATGCACTTTGCACTGGGCCACCCCCGCCCCCTCCCTCCAGCACTTTGGGGTCACTGGGATGGGACCAAGCCCTCAGCAGCCAATCAGCGGCCGCACTGAAGCCTGAGCCCTGAGCCGTAAACCAGGTCCGGAGTGGGTGGGGGTGGGAGGTGGGGGCGACTTGGTTGGTTAGTTGCTTCCTTCTCTCCTCCTTACCCCAGCAGCCCCCACCCCCTGCTTGCCGTAAAGCTGCCTGCGGATTCGCGACAGTTAAGGGAGGCGTGTCATTTTGGGCTGGGACTCGTCTCCGATTGGCCTCATTCACTTCCTCCTGAGCGTCCCCGAGGTGGCTTCCGAGGCTCCGCCCCCTAGTGGAGGTGCTCAAAGCGGTTGCTAAGAAACACTGTACACGGAACGGGGCTTTTGCGCATGCGGGAGAAGAGACCAGGTCTTTTTCGGGTTGTTTTTTTTTTGTTTTTTTTTTTTTCCTGTGAACTACGGTGGCTCAGAGGGGGCAGGTGTAGACGGGAATGGGGGTGCCAAGGTAGAGTGACCTGAGCCAGCTCCCAAACAGGTAGGTAACCGCCAAGTTGTTGAGCTGGTCTCTGGAAGAGGTGTGTGTGCAGACTAAGGGGCTGGTCGGGGCCTAGGGAGGCGGCGGTCTCCAGGAAGCGAGGAGAAGGGCGCCGTGTCCGGCACCATTCCTCAGAGCTTCTGAGTGCCTCGTCCTTGGTGAGTCTGACGGTGTCGGGTCAGCCTGCCAGCTGGGGATGGTTCGCTTACCGGGAAGGAAGCACTCTTTGGAATCGCGATCCCGGGGAAGGGCTTTCCTGCGGGGACAGCGATCCTCACTGATTCCTGTGAGTGAAGGGAACGGCAGAGTGGGAGAAATACGAGATGGGCATATTAAAAAGTGTCTATGAAGTACATTTAATCATTTATCAAGTGTGCTGGCTAGGCACTCTTGTAATCGTTGGGGAGACAACAGTGAGTGAGATAAATGCAATCATTTGCTTTCCTGCTGTCAGGGGAAACAGTAACAGAACGACCAGGGACAGGTTATACGAAGAAAACGGAGCAAAATAATTTGACTAGGTCGTGATAGGCTGTTTTAAGTAGTCAGGAAAGTTCTCTGAGAGAGGTAACATTTGAGCAGTAATATGAATGGCACAGAGCTAGCACCCGGTGGCGGACGATGAGCATTTTATTCTCTGGATGACAACAGATACGGTTCTGGGACTGTTTGGGGACCAGAGTGTAGTGAACTTGGCCAGCGAAAACCTATGCAGTACGGTGGGATCTCATCATCTGTCTTTGTAGCCCAACTTAGCTCAGCTGTACCTAGCAGGAAGGGGAGGTGGGGCTGGATAGAGAAATTCTACAGTTGACCTTGGCCCCACAGTCCCAGCAAAAAGAATGCTGAAAGAAGGAAATTCACTGGTGGCTTTTGAGTTCCCACAGTGTAGCTCTCGTCCTGGTAATTTAAGGGATTCTTTTCTTCACACTTTACCACACCACTTTATGATGTGGCTTCAGTGTGTGACCCTTGTACTGGCTCATTGTCAGGCATAACATAAAGACTAAGTAAGCTTAGAACTCATTCCCTGCTGTGCCTTCTTTATACACTATATTGATAATTTTGTTATAAAATTTGTATTATAATTGAAAATTTAGAAGTTAAAAATTACATGGTATTGGGGGCTGGCAACGTAGTTCAGTGGTAGAGACTTGCCGAATATGCATAAGGCCTTGGTTTTTATCTCTAGCACCATAAAAGAAAGAAGAAAGAAAGAAGTTACAGGGTATTTTTAAAATGTCTTTGAGATCAAAATAGTACTAAAACTTTGAGTGTAGGAGTGATGCTCAGTGGTACAGTGCTTTCCTAGTATGCTTGAGGCCCTTCAACCCCTAGCACCAAAAAAATATATAAATTAATACTTTGTGACTAATTTTAGAATTATTTTAGACATACACACTACTAAATTTATCTTCAGCTAGGAATATATTCAAGAAATCTAAGTGCTACTTGTGTATCAGCCACTGTGCTAAGAGCTACAGATGAAGTAAAGAAGCAAGCAGACAGCTCTTAGTGGGGTATAGTCTAGCAAGGGACACATAAAAGTAATTGGATAGACAATTTAAAAAGTTGTGACACATTCTGTAAGACAGCAGGTGCTGAAAGACTGAGTGCATCACAGGAGCCCTGGCCTCAGAAAAGGTCACAGTTAAAGCAAAAGGAAACGGAGGTGGAAGAGCTGCCTAGACGGACAGAACAGCACTGTATCAAAGTCCAGAGGCAGAAAAGAACCTTTCTAGGTAACTGAAAGGAGTACTGGCATTCTCCTACTTAAATTATGTAAATGTTTTCATCATATAAGCCATTTGCTTTTTGCATATGTTTATAAGTACTGCTTTGCTGAAGTAGGTAGGTACCATTTTTTTAAAAAATCAGCTGAAAACCAATTCTTATTTGTATAAACAGTCTGTGTAAAATGCTAAGTAAAATCTGGGTCGTGTCACTTCTACAGATACTCCCTAAACTCTACCCTGCCACTCACTTATGGCAAATTTTGGGGGGAAGGGCAGTGCCAGAGAGGGGATGGGCATAAACTGGTAAAGTGGAATGAGTAAGGAAAACTTGTCATTGAAAGATGTTATTGTGAATGACCATTTAAAACATAGACTCATAAGTGAAATAAATAGGACACACATGTGAATACCGAATAGTATCTCTAGTGTGAGAAACTGAAAGTGTAAAGGATGAAAATGATTAAAATGAACAATTGATAATTTGAAATAGGAAAAGGTCCAAAGGGGTAGGGGTAGTGGGAGGGGAAGGGGAAAGAGAAGAAAGGAAAGGAAAAAGTATGAGAAAGAAAAAAAAAATGGAAACAAAGTCTATGTAAATAGGGAAGGGTGGTGGGGGTGAAGGGCGCATAGGTAATGGGGAAAAAAATAAGAACTAAGATACATCATGTTCAGGTAGAACCACCCAATGATAAATGTAAATGTATTGTATACCTA